AATAATCATTTCCTGATATGCTTAGTAATTGTGCTCAGGAGGCCACTGATTAAATGATACTGCTTCGCTGTGTGCTAAAAGTAGAATTTTTCACTGCCCTAGAATTGGTGTTGAATTACACAAACTATACGTATGGGACATTAATTCACTGAATAAAGAAAGGTTCGGTGGTTGGCGCTTCGCTTCACCAAGCTGTATTTGTATTTAAGACTTTAGTTTTTCATATTCTGTTTCGTCAGTACATGAGTAGTAACACTTCAGTGGAGTCCATTATTCTAAACAAGAAGTTCATGTAGAGTACTCACTTATTTTGATAAGCTTGGGATTAAGTTTGCATTGAAACCTATAAATTTACTGAGAGATAAACTGAGACAAAATGATTCAATCTATCAAGTTCTAAGCGGCGACTGTGACATCTCTGAAATAGTTACAGCCCGTAGTCAGAATTATGAATTAGGAATATTATCAGAAAACAGGAACTTGGGGAAATTCAAAGCAATAAATCTCCATTAGGAAAAATAACTTAGACAAAAACCTGAGGTATCATCAAGAATTCATCCATGCCATAAAGTGAGAAAAGTAGCCATCTTAAAGAGTGCTACAGTTATTCTGAAGAAGATATTGATTGCGGAATTTCGGTTCATTGAATGTTCATTCAAGTAAACGGATAAGAACCAGTTGAAACAAATATTTTGAAGACAAGAAGAGAAAATGCATTAATTAAGTCCCAGATTTTTGGGACCACCTGTCTACTTTTCTGAGCGGTATGATTTACCCAGAATACTGAGTACAGAATGACTGAGTACAATTATGTGCTTCATCGGAAAGGTAATGTAAGTATGGAATTACCCTACGTTATTGCTTCGAGCGTTTTACTCCTACATCAGGCTTTCGGTTTTCAGTATTGAGAGCAATTGTCAGTTAGTGTAGTAACGTGACCACTGAGGTGAGTAACTATAAATTTAATCGCATCATATCTGTAGTCTTGTAATTTGAAACAATCTACATGATTGTTGGAATTTATTACAAAGATGCATCTGCTATCTCTGAGATTACGACCTGTATCACTTGAAAGCTCTTAGTCAATTATTCCATCACCAGAATAATCTGAATAGATGGAAGTAAACTCTTCTGGATTTTAATATTTAGGAAATCATTAGTTGGTAATATATATTCGAAGTCAATCGACAATAAGAGCTGAATTTAGGTTGCATGTTTATTGGTGCTCATCAACAAGATGTATTTTTAAACCTTCAGGAAACCGATACTCTTTAGGATATTTAACCAGTGTTATTCAGTCAGAAACGGAAACACTAAGCTACTTAGGCTACGATTAACTACCTATTGAACTGGAGTATGCAAAAACTTGATAATCTTGTAGTAAATAAGTTACCTATCAAGTCTTGGGTGTTAATTACTGACCAAAGTCAATTTATCAAAGTAATTGAACTTATTGTGCAAGAGACCAAACTGAAGTTATCTATTGTATTTCCTAGTATAAAGTTTCCCTTTTTACTGTTACTTATCTTGAGACTTTTTGCCAAAACTGTTTAGTTGCTGAAGTGGCGACAACAAACAATTCCACTACGAGATTGCTTTCAAGCCTTCCTTGTATATGCATTTAAAAAATCCTTGAAGAAACAACCGATGGCATTTACATTGTTTTCGGTCATACACTAAAGACTTTTTTAATGAAAGGAACGTGTAGAAATGAGAAAAATTCACTCTGTCATTCCCTTCAATTTATTATTTTCTATTATACTCAGAGTTCGAGTGTTATTGAAGTGGGATTGTTAGTCATTTTAGAGAATAACCCTCCCAACCCTCCAGAAGTAGTCAATGCTAGATAAAGGTATGATCTGTTGCAATGATAAATGACTACTTATTTGACCTAAGTTTGCAAACTTCAAATGGCATTAGATAAACTAAAGAATAACCTCGTAAACATCACGCTTAACGGGAAAAGAGTGTGGGAGGAAATTCAAACTGTATACAGTAGCAAAGTGAAACACAGAACAGATGGTGGTTTCCATGCTACCGTCTGCAGAAAATCAACACATTCTGACAGGTATCTAAACTTCAAGTTGTCCAATTATATATCCGTTACAGTGGTTGTAGTCAAATGGTTAAGTAAACAAAGCTAGGAAATTTAAGGAATTGAATTATTTTTGTTTGTGAAGAAGTTGGTAAGCATACGTACGAAATGAAGTAGTAAAAGTAATATGAATAATTATGATGATGAAAGCGGAAAGCTCAAGGATTCCATGATGTTACTATATAGGAAAGTGAAATCAGAAACTTTAGGTAAAAACTGTAAACCGGGCTGGAATTAAAGAGGCATTCAAACCTGAAAGCTAACTCAGAGTTAAAGGTCTTCGGCTTAAGGACCAGAGTTAATTAATAACTTGGTTTATCAAATGCCTTACAATAAATGTGAGGTCAGATACATAGATCAAGCCAACTAAACAGGGTTAGTTAGATTTTTGGAGCATAGGAATTTGACCAAACGTAGAATGATAGACCCCATTAGGCTGGGTAATGTAGAGAAAAATACGGTTATTATAATGCATGCCCTTACAATTGTACTTCAGTTAAATACATTTATATGGAGGTAAGATTGACTACAGAATCTTTATCCATTGAATCAACACCAGACACACTTAATAGGAATGATGCAACACATATACCGCAGATGTAGAAGATTTTACTACTAATAAAAACAAGAATATATGGTGAGAGGCTGCATGCAATATACTACTGACTGACTTGAGTAGTTGTAGGTCACTCACATCTATTAAACAATGCTCGCTAGTTAGATTAAGGTGATGTTACCATAAGGCGGTCGTTTCACTCGTTAGGGACCGAGTCTGCCAACGATGAACCCACACTGATTCAGGTAAGACAGTTGAATTGTTCAAATTACCTGAATCCTGGTTAGCCACTTGAGTGGACTGATCATACTTAGTCCGTAGTGATTCCGTATGATGATAGGACCATAAAAATCAAGTGTCAAAAGTTGTAATCATTTAAATATGATCAGGTGCGATAATTTACGCTCATCAAGTCATCAATTAAATAATAGTGGTATATTGTGTGTTACATCAAATAAACAAATGTAATATGGAATTGCGTGTAGCAGATTTATCGTTATCATGTTACTGGTTTCATACAGTATTTGTAGTCAGTTCCCGTGAAACCAAAAAGCCAACTAACTAGGGAATAGGATAGTAACTCATTTTCGCACTATCTAAGTGAACTTCGCCATGCATAAAAACATTTGAATCCATCAAATTCTAATCATTTTTTAGGTACTTTCTTTATCAACAGAGTATCATTGAATTTAAACGTTTATTGTCATTGGTAGGATTTTAAACTACGGAGTAACATGAAACATACGAAATCTGTGACATTCACAAACAGATGATGAGATACCTTAAAACTTCTGCAAGAATAGCTTCGGCAACGTGCACAGACATAAAGAGCTTTTCAATAATATTTTGGCGCAAGGGATAAAAAGACGGCAAAGAATTCTTGAAATACCCACGAAGGAAGTGATTTTTGGTGTGATAGGAATGACAGCAAATAAGAAATCAGTTGATAAGATGATCATATCATCATTAAGTCATCAGCCTTTTAAAAGGTTACTTGTTGTTGTATAAGCTTCATAGAGTGATAAGAGTGGCTTACGTATTTCATACACATCCAAAGGTGAATGTAAGGATCTAAAATGCTGTTAGGAAACACAGCTTTATGGTACATAGCTTTTAGCTGCAAGTCATATGAAAAAAACCACCAAACAGATGATGTATAAGTTAACAAATTTGTAGTTTCGAAAAGATAACAGACTAGTAAGTAAGGCGAATATACGGAAAAGAGTTTAGCTGAATATTTAAATTACCAACTTATAGATAGTTTCTGGACGAGGGCAATTTTATTCGTCAACTTCAAACAATCAATTAAGAATTTCGTAACTTATGGATGGAATCAGTAGTAGGTATTCAATGTTCACTTTATGCAGAAATTCGATTTCCAGGGTTTGAGGGAGTGACGAAGTCTGGAACGTAAAAACGACATGTGTCTAGGAATTACATAGTGGATAAGTTTTATTAACAGAAATAAGTATTTTCTTTCATTAGCTAAACAAATGCACTTCAAACAACGAACATTCAGTTAGTTGTTTTCTGGCTATTTACAATTACTTTGCTGGTTTCCATGATGCTTAATTGGACAGTCCATAAACTAAAATTAAATGAACCCGAAGTATAGTTTTATATGTTATCAACAAGCAACTTATCCATACGGAAGTTTGCAAAACCGTGAGCAGTAACTATCCAAATATGATATGAACACGTTTTCTATTTGAAACCAGTAATTCAAGAGGTCTGTGATTTTGAGACTATCCAAATGAAACTGGTTTTTAATACATTGTGACCAGTTATTAATTAATTCAAAGACAACACTCATTATTTTACAAAAATCTCTTGCACAATAGTAATTAAGGGCTGGATATGGATATGGGCTGTCTCAGTATTAATAGATGCATGAGGAAACTGACACTTTCTAGAGTGAACAAAATCTTGTCCAACTATTTGGAACTCGGGGAAAAGAACAACAAGCTGAAGCTTCTGAACAGCTTGTCACAATTATTCATGAGAAGTCAAGTGTATTCAATAAAACTATCCACTTACAAATATAATGACATGACCTTTCAGTGTTATATAAACATTTACTGCATATAACTGAAATTAATTTATCATGGTTTCATTTTTATTCCTTTAATTTTATAGAAATAAGCTGCTTTTCTTTCGATAAATATTCTCTTTATATTCTACCTTCATTCCAAAATCTAACCAAACTAATCTTTTCATCTGGTCACTTCTCACTGGTTCATATTATCTGTTTCCCTTTTCCAATATATATATATATATATATATATATATATATATATATATATATATATATATATATATATATATTTGCCCTTTCGTGTCTGTCTTCTAAAACATAGATAGACATGCGAAAAAATAGATCAATATCATGAACGCTGTTGTCTTTTAGCCTCCATATTTTCCATTAGTGATCGATCGATAGTAAGCAAGTGCTCCTCCTTCTCCCCCATCATCCAATCCACCTATCACCTACTATCACGATTCGAATAAGCATAAGAAAATAAATTACTCGGATGATTCAGTTTAATTATAAGAAGTTATTCAAATAACTTTTAAAAAAAGCTTCATTTCATTCTGAAGGTTGAATTTAGATACTCACTCAGTGTTCAGTTAATTTATAATCTTACGAGTTACAAGGATATTGAATTCGTCCAACTAATCGTAAACGGTACCCTTTAGCATTAAAGAAGAAACTAACTGCATATTCTGACATACATTTTGCTATGAATTATCTGCCAGAGAATGTTAAATACCGTACTTATTGGTGAGTATAATCAGTATAAATCCACTTTAAAATAACGTTTAGTTTTTAATCACAATATAAATAAAATTGCTTTCTTAAGGTCTAAAGTTCAGTTGCAATGCTTTAATTTTACTTTTCCAGAAGATTTCATCCACTGACTAGTCACTGCAGACTAACCAATTTTATGATATCTAGTCTGAAATGCTCATCGAATTACATCAAACACTTCGAAACGTGGTTATCAAGTTAAGAGACAGCATCATGGTTCGCACCGACTGATGTTAGATGGTTGGATGTAATCGGCAGGACGTCAGGTCTCCTTCACCTGCGCACTGACCGTCGTCAGACTTGAGTACTGAATGTGCAGTAATTTAGAAGACTAGTTTCTGTTCATGAAAATAGTATGAGTTTGTTAATTGGTCTGTAAGGGGCCGACTGTGTTACTATTGTTTAGCATCTAACCAGTCTAACGTAAATTAATATTCGCCAGTACCAAACTAATCAGTACCGTACCTATTTGTTAGTACTGATAACAAAAGAAAAATAAGGAAACACGTTATATGGTTAAAAGAGCTTAGAAAAGGAATTTATTCATTAGTCTGAGATTAAAAACTTTTTTTGAGGGGAACGAGGGAGTCTGAGTGAGTTACCGCTGATCAGCACGAAGAGGCTGAGAAACAGTGAATATTGACGGGCGGTTGCCTTTACGCCAATACAAACTTATTGAAGCAAAGTCACCCGCCGACTCCGCAGAAGATTATTTACCTATTATTTAGATATTTTACATGCTTATTTATTGATTCATTTTTAAAGTAGCATTATTTTTAGTGTTGATAAAGTGTACTAAAAGTTTACGGAGGCAACAATATGTTTTATCAACATAAAAGTAAGACTTGAGTTCAACAACAGATTGTAATTCTACAATAGACTGAAGATCAAATGCATCACAAAGTGAAACCATATTATAATGGCACTGAAGTAATGTGGTTAGAACTAAACAAACTGTTATAGTTTATCCTTCGAATAACAGTTTAGGATTAAATCTATCGTTAAGTTTAATCACGACTACTCGAAGGAAGCCATGAATCACTATAGAGTGTCCACACAACAAACAGAGCCTCTGGCAGAAAGAGCGCCATGCAGTGAATCTGAGTTTATAAGGGGTGTAACACTGCAGATAAAATATTGCGTTTAGGGCATAAAACAAGCTTGTCATTGCCAACTTGTGACTTAATGTCCGGAACCATCAATAAATAGGTTTCCTAAGTTAAATGATTGTAGGTCATGGCAAGAAAGCATCCGACCGCAAACATAAGTCAAAGTGTAGCTTGATTTTGTATCTCCTAACCTGGTAACCATATTTTAAAATGATCGATGGAGTTCAGTGAGCACCTAAGACTGAACAACATGAAACTGATTACTACATGGAGACCGATCGATATAATTTTCTTAGTCTTTGCCAAAACAGTAGTAAAATTATTTCGATTGATGTAATTTAGGTACTTAACCTTAGACATATTTATGTCGCTACAGCTACAAATCCACATGGAGATAAATCTTATCGTCTAAAGGATCCTGTTAAGTTTATTTGACAAAACAATTTGGTCTATCAAATTCAAAGCATTTACTGTGTAGTCAAGAGTAGTAGTCCAGCCAACCAAATGAAGTCAACTAGGTAAACAGAAATAAGAAAACTAACTAAATATAGAATAGTAGACTCTATCAGTATAGGAAATTTTAGAAAGGAACTCAGTTGTATTTATGCATACTGTCATATAGTCATGATACAGTGAGAATCTTAAAACAACCTAGGTAAGCAGAAAAAGAAACTGATAACTGAAATCAAATCAAAACTTAACACATGTAATAGGAATGATTCAAAAGAACTGACTTATTTTAAATTCCACTACCATTAAAATTAAAGAATGAGGAACAGTGGAAATATCAAAGTAAGCCGGACAGCAAAGTGATTGCATTAATGTTATTAATAGTAATATATTTTGCAGGAGAAGTCATCCAGTGAATAAAACTACGTTATTGTGTATGTGTTCATTTAAAACAAATGGTTCACTTGTTCAGTCCGAATCATGCTGACTTCCCAAATATACAGCTTTTCAAAAACTAACCTTCACTTTATAGACTTGTTTGCTGCTCTAGTTAGAAATTAAGAGATAATATTTGAAAAGTTTGAATGATGATGGTTTTGTATGTGTTTTGTTTTAAATATGAACGAAAGACCAAGCGATTTACAGTCCCCCAGTTTGAATTCATGGGGACTATTAAACCTGATAAAGCGGAAGGTTTCAGCGTGCAGTAAAACAGACAAATCTTTGCAAAGTTGTATGAATATATATTGTAGTCACCTGAGTGCCTTAGATGTTTCGTGAGTTTTAAACTCAATTTCTGACGAGAGATGGGAAGTACAAAGATAGTTAAGTCATTTAAAATTTCCGATATCTGTTTAGACTAAAGTTTGGTGACGGTTCTTGAGACAAATCCTAATATTTTATTAAATTATCATTTATCTTTGTGTCAACCACTTGAATGCTGAATAGGATGTGGGTGACCGATTTGCTGAAACCAGTAGTACGTAAAATGTGGTAGGAATTTATCTATTTAGCAGTGAAATAACTTAATGAGATTTAAGGTTCTGTCTTAGTCAATTCAACTTTATTATTATCCACTAGGGTAAATGAACACTTAGTACTTGTTCTCATTAAATTACATACCAAGCGTAAATCTGAGCTTCCTCTCCAATAATTTTGAGCGACATGCCTATAAACAGGAAGCAAGGGTCATTGCCACGATTTTGTTCACTCCGGAAATAGAATAGTTTGTGGCAGATGCGGATTTACATGTACTTTAAAACAGTCACAAGCCAAAGCTCAGAAAGCCACAGCTTCGATAGCCTTCTAAGACGTTGCCGCAAGCCACAGGTTGTTTGTGTGCCTTTGTCATGCTTAAACATAATAACGCATACAAGTATTTCAGTAGGATAGGTGGTAAGAATATTTACTATGTAAAACTTTTTTGATTTTATTCCAGTGTGCTTCGAAGACAAGCAAAATGGTTTCCAGACTTTCACCGTGAAGTCACAGCTTCTTGAGGAAGATATTGTTTCAATTTTGCTAACACACTGAGATTTAGTTAGACGGTTTGATGCAGTTTGCGGAAAGGCCTTCATGACTTAGGTAGCATACTTGTTGGCATTTGCCAACAGTTGATATCTACAGACTAAAGCAAATTGATATCCTCTCAGAGATTCAAAAGAATGTGATTAGTATTTACGACCAGACAGTATGAAATTGGTTGATCTTTGGTGGCCAATCAGTGGATATGATCCAATCTTGCAGGAGGTGAATCATGACCCGGATTGCTCGGTGATAAAATTTGGGACTAAACACTGATTGACACTAGTTCAAATATATGAGGAGGTATCAGTTCTATGAGGTTGCAGGTAGACTTTCTCACAGCTGCCAGTAAGCAGGTGAAACGAGCCTGACATCCTGCTGATTGCATCCAACCATCTAGCATCTATCAGTGCGCACCATGATACCAAGTCTCCTAACTTGGTAACCACATTTTGAAATAATCGATGGATTTTGATGAGTACTTCAGACTAGACATCATGAAATTGGTTGCTTCTCAGTGACCAGGCAACGTACATTTAGATCAAGTCAAATATTTTTCGTCAGACTTTATGCTCAAACATCTCGATAACAGTTGTGTTTACTGTAATCTAGATATTTACAATAAGAATATTCGCAAAGCTGCTAAGTCATTCAAACACCAGATAGAACATGCGCTTGTAATTACTAAGGGTTAATAATAATAGCTCAGTTCCTAGACTTTTCCGGGTTTTTTTCAAGTTTTAGTGTTCCTGATTAAGTAAGGTATGTAAATTTAATCACATATTCTTCCTCGTGAAACTATACTGAAATCAGTACAGAAATGGATGTTGCGTGCTATACATACATGAATACAAGATCTTAGGAGAATGAGAAGACTATTATATACGTAAACATGCTTTAGATAGATTACTATGGAGAATGAATCTGACTTTACTTCTGTGTTAGTTCAGACACGCTTCCCAGTGTCTGCTTAGTTATACTCAATTTTCTTATCTTGCATTTGTCACACTTTCACCCAGGGAAAATACTGAATGAATATATACTAAAGTGAAGTGTGAACTGAATATCTGAAATGTTTGGTTCTCTACAAAGTAGCTTTTCTTTTTCTTACACTTTAAGAAAGGTTTTGCCCTGGTACCCATAAAAGGTTTATATTCAAAGTGTTATACTTTTATTTTCTATCAGTGTTCATTCGACTATACGAGAGGTCTAAAGTTGGGAATATGATCTCAATGTTTAATGAAAGTTCAGACAAAAACTAGGGTCTCAACAAAACTTGTAGCTCAATCGGCAGAGCTGAATAACTCAAGTTTTCATCATTTGCATGAAAAAACCTAAAATGAAACCATTTTGCATATTTTATTTACAGAGTTACGGTTTGAAGGAAATATCACAGAATTATGTCAGAAGTGACAGGACGGATTAAATCTGCCTATCAGGAATTATACTGTTGAATTTCTGCATCATTACTTGTAATATCCATGGTTGATTTGTTTAGACCGAATCGACAACTTATGCTTGACTCCTGGCTGTGGATCTCCATCTAGAGCGTTTGAATGGTAACGAAAGTACCTTCTGGTCCATTCAGCTGACGAAACCTAAACTGGTTTAAGTGCGTGCCACCGGTCAATATTCATCATTATTTTGCTTACTTGCTTATATTTTCATATTATCAAGTGAACGGTTGTTAACGTTCGTAGCATAAAAGTAGATAAATTCATTTTGGAAGTTATGATAGCAAGCCTGACTTGTAGAAATACAGTTATATACTGTTAGCATAAGCATGAGTTATTTTAGGAGTATGTGATCATTGTTAGACTTGGGATACCGTTAACAACATGGTTTATTCATCTGTTATTAGGGATTTGGAAAAAATGTAGAATAAATATC